AGTACATTCTCCAATCCCAGCCACTCCAGCTGCCACCAGATAAATCGCATTAAAACCACCCAACTGAGCCCTTCCTCAAGTTCTGGCAGGAGCATAAAATCAGGAGCAAGCAAAATTGGTTTTTAAGCCACTAAGTTTGGGGATAGTCTGTTACTCAACGATCAATAAGTTGAACATATAATTTCATATGAAAATACACATCTGATTAAAAATAGAAAATCTCAAACCAATCCTCTATTAATCTGAACTTTGTATCACTTCAAAAAATTGTTATAAAAGACTTGCAATGGCATAATAAAACTACACCATCCAATATGCAAAAAAAAAAAACAAAACAACAGTGCTTTAAAAAATTTGACATAATAGTATAAAACTGGACCGGTTTGAGCAGCATTCTTGTAAAACTCCCTCTTGACGGAGCAGCTGAGGACTCTAGACTCATGGAGGGAGAGGGAATGTGAGCTGGAGGCTGGGGGGCAGGCTTGCAGGTGTGCTCTTTGGCTGCTTGAATGATTGTATATTCCTGAGTGTTTTGGTGCACACCAAAAAACCCCACAAAAAACAAAACAGAGAATAGAAGCAAATACTGTTGAATGATGAAGCATGCAGAGGATTATAATCATTGCAATGAAATGAAAACAGCTGTAATCATTGCAATAAAATGAATATGAGATAATAAGAGTGTAAAACGGATGTCCCCCATGTAAACCATCACTCAATTCACAATAACAATGTTTAAAATAAAAACTCCCTCTCATCTGTGTATTTATCTGTTTAAAATAAAATTGAGGCAACTTTGAAGTATCTCATACTTCAGGTTAACTACATATGAAAAAGATAAATCACCTTTTACTATTGAAGGCTATTGTGCCCTCTCAGCTGAGTGATTAATTTATATCCTGCTCACTGTTTCATACATAATTACTAGCATGAGCTCAATGAACCTGAAAAGATAGGGTGGTTTAGCATTCTGTATAAGCTCAATTTAGTAAAGCATATCAAAGTCTTGGAGGCTTTAAAGTTTAGTTCTGTTTTTTTTTTCCCCCTCTCAATGGCCAGTGTACTTCTACATTGCATATCAAATTATAAGACCACAACTTTTGGATTGTTGGCTTTATTTGGGAGCCATGTAGCACAGAAGTTTCTGCTATAAGATGACTCTTATTAGGAAAGAAAAGATTCAACAGGTCTGAAAAGGCCATTGCTGAAACCTACTGCTGTTGCTGTTAAGTGCCACCGAGTGAGTTCCCTCTCACAGCAACCCTGTCTGGATAGGGTTTCTAAGGAGTGGCTGGTGGGCCTGAACTGCTGACCTCATGGTTACCAGTCTAGTCCTTATCCTATTGGCTGACTTAAATTGCATTTGTGATTTTTAAATTGAAATGTAATGGGTCTAAATATAAGATATGGAAATTAAATACAATGAAATGCAAACTCTTCCCTTCTAGGCTTAACTGTAGGCTTAAACAACACGAAAGTCTAAACAGCCCTATTTATTTAGAATGTACTTTCCAAACTCTGCTCAGTAAAATGAGTCAATATTTTGGCACTTGGATTAAAATGTATTTCCAGTGCTGTTGTTGTGTGAGGCTGAAGTTAGCATCATTTTTACTAAGAACATATTTTTACCATATAATATAGTATTATTTCCCAGGTTTCTATTGAACTATGTCAATTCAATCCTGACCCTTGCAGAATTCATTCTGACTTTTCCTAGAAAAGAGCTTGGAAGATTCACATGGCATTATCTGATATGCAAAATAAAGAACATACATAAAACAGCTTAGGATTCTGTTTTAGTCTAGACAAATGTGCATTCTTCAAATGATTACATAGAAAGATACTATATGAACAGCAAGCAATTCCACTCTTAGGTATGTACCCAAAACAAATGCAAATACACGTCCACACAAAAACCTGTCTAGCCAAAAGATAGACACAACCCAAATATCCATCACTTGAATGGATGGATGAACAAAATGTGGCATAACCATGCAATGGATTTAACATGCAATGTTAAAAAAGGTATCGAATGTTGAGATGTACAACTTGAATACATTTTGAACGCAATCTTTTAATGAAAGAAGCCAGTCACAAAAGATCACATATTGTATGATTTCGTTTACGTCAAGGTCCAGAATAGAGAAATTTATACAGATACAAAAGGAGCTCTGGTAGCATAGTGCTTACAAGTTGGGCTGCTAACCTCAAGGTCAGCAGTTTGAAACTACTGGCCCATTTCATGGGAGAAAGATGAGACTTTCTGCTCTCATAAAAACTTACAGCCTTGGAAACCCTGTAGAGGGCCACTATGAGTCAGAATCAACTCCACAGCACACCACCACCAACACCATACAGATAGAAAGTAAATTAGTAGCTCAAGGTTATAGGAGAAGCTCAGTGGGGGCAATAGCAGCTAGTGGGTGTAGGGGTACAAAGACTTTCTTTTTAAAATGATGATACTGTTCTAACATTGACTGTGGTGATATGTTCACATACTTGTGGATATACTAACAAAAATACTGAATGGTACTCTTTAAAGGGTGATTTGTATGATATGTGACTTCTTGTTGTTAGGTGCCTTTGAGTTGGTTACAACTTGCAACAATCCTGTATAGAGCAGAAGAGAACACTGCCCAGCCCTGAACCTCCCTCACTCTCATTTCTATGACTGAGTCCATTGTTGCAGTGTCGCTCTGTCATTCCAGCTCTTTGAGGTTCTTCCTCTTTTCCGCTGACCCACTACTGGACCAAGCATGATGTTCTTCTCCAGGGACTGGTCCCTCCTAGTAACATATGCTAAGTATATGAGTCAATGTCTTGCCATCCTCCCATCTGAGAAGCATTGTGGCTGAAGATCTTCTAAAACAGATTTGTTTGTTCTTCTGTTTCTTGTTGTTAAATGCCGGTGAGTCGGTTCTGGACCATAGTGACCCTGCATAGGGTTTCCAAGGAGCAGCTGGTGGGTTTGAACTGCCGACCTTGCAGTTCAAACTGGCTTTTCAGTCTAGAGTATTAACCCACAGCCCCACACTAGAACTCCTGGTAGTCCATAGTATATTCAATATTTTTTGCCAGTATCATAATTCAATTCTCCAGTCTTCCTTATTCATTGTCTAGAATTCAATGTATATGAAGCAATTGAAAATATAACTTGGATTAGGTGCATTTTAGTCCTCAAGGTGACACTTTTGCTTTTTAACACTTTCAAGAGGTATTTTGCAGCAGATGTGCCCGATGCAATACACCATTTGGTATGTGACTTATATCTCAATAAAATAAAAACAGAATTTTTTTAAAAAGGCATTCTCCCTCATGCCAGAGGTCTGAACAAGACCTAAAAAGGGTTCAGTCTGTAAGAAACACTGTGGCAGTAACTCAGAGAAGATTAGCTAGGCGATGGGTGGGGGTTCAGGGTAAGGAGAAGGCACAGCACATACGAAGACATGAAAGAATGAATCAGTATAGTGTGTTCAAAGAACTGCAATTAGTAAGACAGGCAGTACTCACTCGATGGTGGTCTGACTGGTTTCCTGGGTACCTTTGAAATTAATACAGTGTCCCATCTAACTCAAGAAAAGCTCCCTAACACATATGAGGTTTACATCCTTAAATGAGATTGAAATAAATATACTCACTGAAAATCTAGCAAAGTTCTTCCTAAAAAAAAAAAGGGTCCATGAACACCTGGACCTTTAGAGTCACTGTTTTGATGAAAGCAGTAGCTAAAGTTTAGAGAATGGAAAAGGAAGCTGGAGAACAAAAGGCAGATTAGAGAACAAAAGAGATGATGCTGGAGAAATTAAGAAAGCCCTGGGTGATTATTTCCCAATTCCATTTATGTAAACAAATCATTGTTTTTAAAAAAAAAAAGCATAGGCAAGGTGAATTCCACCACCAAGTAGATGACATTTTCTCAACTCATTTTATTATTCTTGTATTTGGAGAATCTATCCTCCTCCCAAATCATCAAAATGTGTTTGTGTACAGAAACAAATATACACACGACTCCTACGAATCAGTAAAGAGCATCTGTCAAACAGCACTTTAATAAGTAGTTAAATTCATACAAATACTGAAACGTGGGCTCTCCTTTGGAGCTGGGAAGCCATGCATTCAAAGACCCTATAAGTCATTTCTGAACTGGAAACTCAGAGGCTGCATGTCCAGGGTTTGACAGTCACATGGGTCAAGGCCAATGTCAGCCTGAACCTGTCATGGCTCCTCACCCCAAAGGGCCTGCAAAGCACACTTCCCAGCTCAGCCGGGACTTTATCTTAATAGACCCATTTTTCCAAGTAGAGGTGCTTGGGGAGGGGTATGATAGATGATATTTTACTTTAAATTATCATTTCCATAGTTAGACCAAAAGACCAACACTATCTCAAAAGGACATCTTGTTTGATAAAGATGAGAATGAGGGAACCCCTCAATGAAATGGATGATAAAAACTCAATGAGATGGACTGACACACACAAACACCACAACAATGGATTGAAACATACCAGGTCTCATGAAGATGGTGCAGACTGGACACTATTTCACTCTGTTATATATAAGGACACCATGAATCGGAGGCAACTGGATGACAACTAACAACAGCAATCTATTTTTCGAGCTCAGTGGCATGTATTAAAAACCTCTTTGGGCTCCCCATCCATAAGCCTTCAGTCCCCACTAACCCCAGCCCAGTCCTTCCTTGGTCAAGGTTTTAACAAAATCACTCAACAGCCCAGCAGTAACTAGCTTTTGAATCCACAGGATACACTCTCATGGGAAGATAAACACCTACTGGGTCACACGAAATGCCTGCAATCAATTTTTAATTACAGCAGCAGTCTCCACCAGAAGATAAAGCAGGCAACTCGCTGAGAAGACACCAAGAGACCATTTATTTCAACTAACGTCCACCAGGGAAGCAAATTTGTGAAGCGTGGGCCACAAATGATTCAACCAACCATGGCTCAGGATATAAGCCTGGCTCAGGAAGATGTTCTTACCTCTGGGATGTTTTCTTATATTTCCTCCTGTTGGAAAAGAAGCATAGATACATATCAGAAAATGGTTTGTGACAGGCTATAATTTGTAAAAAGGATTAGTTCCACAAGGGATGGGCATGGTGTGAACACTTCCGAGTGGATTCTCTCTGTGGAAAGTTTTGTATTACTGTATTATATTGCGATCAGATTTCTAGAACCATAGGCATATCAGTTCACAATTACATCCCAGAAGCTCAATGGCTCTGCCCCTATGTTCTTCCCTTTCCTCTTTAAGGGCACTTTCACATTTTGGTTGAGATATAGCTTTAAAAGAAGTAAAATCCACATTTAATCTCAGCCTTTGCATCTACCAGGTTGATAGAAGGGTAATTGTGTGGATTACATGGAAGGCTGCTTTTAGAGTACTTTTTGGCCTGGTACATATTCAATAGCCAATAACTATTTGCTGTTTTTTTTTGTACTATTCCTGTTGTCACTGTTATGCTCATCATCAAGTATGGAGGCCTCTTAAGAAGGAGCTTTTTGAAATATGAATGTGCAAGTGCACATCTAAACCATTGTCAGATCAGACATAAGGTCTTCAAAGAAAGAAGAAGGTGGACGGGAGGCAATGAGAAAATCCAGAAACAAAGGTTTCTGAGAGCAACATAGCTTTGCTTTATTTTTGTTAAGTGCTGTCAAGTCACCACCAAGTCATAGCAACACTTGATAGGGTTTCCGAGGAGTAGCTGGTGGGTTTGAACCCCCAACCTTGTTGTTAGTAGTCCAGTGTTGATCTTACAGCACCACACCAGGACTCTGAGAGCAACATTAAAAACTTGTTAATGGCTCAGGTTTTAATTCTGGTTCAAGTCTCCCGGAAGAACACTTCCCCAAGAAGCAGAAGAGGCCGGAGTTCTAGCCCGTGTCTGCTATTTGTAGTCATCATTAGGCCATGCGCAAATCTCTTGGGTTTGAGACTTCTTAATCCATAAAATGAAGAGTACCTGGCCTGACTACCTCTAGGCGTCATAATGGCATTCATGAGGAAAGGGCCATATAGGTATATTGTCTCCATACTGCAGTTTTGTTCTTGCTGGTATCGGTTTTTTATATACTCTGGAGACCCTCAAAACAGTTTAATAGGCTCTTCACTGAAGGGGACAAGAGAAAAGGAAGTGTTATAAAAGGAAAACATGCCTCCTGTGGCATCTCCAGGAAAATGCAATACCGCCCATTTGTCATGAGTTCCACACCTGCACTCCTATTACAGTCACTGAACCCTGACATTCAAGCAATACATTTACTAACTAAGCTCTATGATACAAATTTGGTGGGGGGGAAAGGCACATGTATTTCAAATTCAAAATCATCTGTTGTTGCGTGACACTGAGTCCATGCCCACGCATAAGGACCCTATAAGATAGAGTACAAGTTCCCCCATAAGATTCCCTAAGCTTTCATTTTGACAGAAGCCAATTACCTGGTCTTTTCTCCCTTAGAGCAGCTAGTGGATTTGGAACTACCAACTTTTTGATTGGTGGTGGTGTGCCATGGAATTGGTTCCAACTCATAGCGACCCTGTACAGGATTTCTGAGGCTATAAATCTTTACGGGAGCAGAAAGCCTCATCTTTCTCCCGCGGAACAGCTGGTAGTTTCAAACTGCTGACC